AAAAAAATTGACTGAAGCGGGTGAATGAATGAGGGAAAACAATCATAATTTTTTTTTTTTTTTTTTTTTTTTTTTTTGAAACAAATCCAATTGCTTTGTACGAGCTGCAAATCGGCTCGAGTGTCCCTTTTTTATGACCGACTCTACCCTCCTTTCCTTTACGGTTGAAGGACCCCAACACAGCGGAATTGATTACTTCCTTTACGGGCCAAAGCCTTGCAAGATTTCTTCCTAAAAAAAAAAAAAAAAAAAAAAAAAAAGGGCGCCGGCCTAGAGATATCATCATTGAGCTGGCCAGCCCCAGGTCTTCAGAAAGATTTGATTTGACTCATCAAGTTCATCATCTGGATTCGAACTCCGGTCTATATTTCAACAGTCCATGGGTGTACCCACTGAGCTAGGCTCTTGTGTGGCCTTGCAAGATTTCTTCATTACCTACTCGTAAACTTTCGGAGGCTCGTGGCTACCAGACCACAATGCCTGGCTCCGCCAGCCAAAGAAGGAAAAAATTCGCCACTGCCTGTTCGGCAAAGCTTGGCGAGGAATGCAGCGCCACCTGGCCTAGGTGTACTGCTGGTTTAAACTGCCAGTAAATGGTCCCAGCCTTATGGAAAAATCTTCCATCGGCTACAGAAATTTTGGAGACTCGGGGCAACCGGGCCACAATGGCTGGCGGCGCCAGCCAAAAGAAAAAAAAGTGCGCAGCAGATGGTTCAGAAAAGCTTGGCGTGCAGTGGAAGCCCGCCAGGCCCCGGGCATATTGGTGGTTTAAGCAAGGATGTACCGCCGCTCTACCCCTGCTTGTGTGCCTTTCTTTCCTGCTCCACTCAGTCTCCCCGGCTGCCTGAACTGCCTTGTGTTTCTAGAGCTATTTTCTGTCTTTTCTTGCACACATCATTCATACGGCCGGCGCCTAAGTTCTTACAGATGACTGTAGACAATATGGTGGAGGCATAGTCTTACCCCATCAGTAATGGTGGAAGTTCGAGGTTCCACGGGCTCGGTCGTTTGCTGATGAAAGTGGTAAAAACCGTAAAACTCATTGCCGTGTCAGATGAGTGATCTCTGACCTTACTACTTCACTACCCAACCAAAAGATCCTTGGAGGCTTCGAGTGAATAATCTCTGAAAGTCAGAGATTACTCGTCTCAAACTGCATGGAGTTTTCGTTCTCAAGACTCTCTGCCCTTCAAACACTGTCTAATGTCTGCCAAGTTGCAAGTGGTGGAACACCGCGCAGTGATTCGAGACCCGTTACGATGACTGCATTATCTTTTATATCAAGTAAGGCAATCATTATCCATTCATCCAATCAGCTGTGTGTGTGTTTGTTTGTTTGTTTTCTTTGTTTTTTTTCTTAACCACTAGTACCTTTGCCGAGTGGGAAAATAGCAGGCCTCGGGCGTCCGACCTTTTAGGAGGCCGAAACGAAATGACGGCCGCCGATCAGATTTATCAATGGCAGCCGTCGTCGGGCCCGGCCTACAATTTTTTAGGAGTTTGGGAAAACAGCCAGTTTTCCCTATTTTCCCAACACTAGCGGAGGTACTAGTGGTTTAACACAAGGCTCTGAGCTATTCGTGGGGAGCAGCACGCACGGGGAAGAGGGGCCATCATCCCTTACGAAACTGACAATATGTCATTAAGAAGTTAGCTGGGGGTGGCCCCGCTTCTGCAACAGAATCACAACACTCGCTAAGGAAATTGGGGAAAAGAAGACATTTCTGAACTAGAGAATCCAATCAGCTAAGTAAGAGTCGACTAAGAGATCGATTACCCAGGCCCTGTGGCTGAAAGACGCTGAACGGTACTAAACAGTCTACACACACATATACATTATATACCTGCTAGTACGCTGCTACTGCAATCTTCACTCAATATATCTGGATTTGAGCCACCTTTCAGTCTAGAATCTAGATACAGTG